GAAATCCTTGTGAAGATACCCAGGCCTCTGTGTCTTTAATATGGGAAAGGTGTTAGATCTGTTTTCTGAGAGTTCATTCAGAAAAGAGTTCAAGTGCTTTAACTGAGAGCATTTGTTTTTGACTTGCTGTCTTAGATGACTTGGAATCTACAGAAACAGTTTAATGACTGGCCTCTTTTCTCCTTACTTTCTAATGCTTCTCAGTTTGCCCTTCCCAGAGGGAGACTGGTAAGCAGATTGTCTACAGAGTGCGTAGCTCTGTTCTGCTCTAGGTGTGCAGAGCTTTTATGTAGTAGACTTTGTATTCTGTCATGTTCAAATTGGTGATGAGCTCCTGGCTGGCCCTCTTTCAGTGGAGCATATATGCTTTAAGCGGGTATGGGGTGGAGGGCACAGTTGGCAGTCCTTACCCCATCCATCCATGCAGAGGAAATTGCCAGTGTTGTCAGATTATAATCTGGAGGTGTCTATACTTGTTTGCTTCCCTCGGCCCTACCTTCACCAACAATTGTTGCAGAGCTGTTCTGATTGCTATTTTTTGGTCCTTCGTGACTTCCCACTGCCCTTTCTAATGGCACTGCTTCTTCAGTGATGCTAATCTCCACCGTTTTTGTCTGTCCTTCTCCCTTCTTTTTTTTTATATCTTCTCTCTTTTGGTTTATCAACTTTCCCAGGAAACAGCTGGCTCTAATCAGAGTTCTTTTTTTCTCCACTGCAGTTAGGGTTAAGAAAAACCATTTCTTCTCTCCTCTGTTGGTTTTTGTTAAATCCTCAGCTGCTACTTTTGGAGGGGTTCTGGGAAGCAGATCTTAAAATAGCTGAAGTTTACTCTGGGTAGTATGCAGACATAATGCACCAAATAATTCTGAGATGATTTCCAAAAGCAGAAAACCATCTATTTGGGCATTTTCAAAAGATGGGAAAATTTGAAAGATTATTTTATTTCATGAGATAGTGTACTGGGATTTGTACTTAAATTCCATAGATAATATTCTTCTTCTGTTTCTGCATATGTATTTACATGATGTAAATGTATTATAAATAGGAGTTTGTTGTAACCTGTATTTTAATCTGAGTATATAATAATTTAAATTTAAGGTTGCAAAATTCTGAAAATGAGAAAATTACTCATGTCTATCCTGATTTTGGCAAAAACGACAAAGGCAGATGTCTAATAACCTCATGGTTTCTCTTCTGGTAGCATTAAAACCACAGGTTACATCCTTTAATGTAAATATTCAGAAGTTTCTCCTTTAGTGAAAAATTCTGTCTGCTATAATCCATTGAAACCTCTTTCTCCTGCCACTAGTCTGTCTTGATTGCTTGAAAGCTATGATACAATTAAGCCCTTGTCTAGGCTAACCATGTCAGGCTTTTACTTAAATTATGGGACACATAGTTTGATTCATGTTAAAAACTAATCTAATGCTGTACAAGTCACTGTTGTTTGTAGTTTTATAATGTATGATGCAGTAACGCTTCCTAAGTATAAATGTACTGTATTTAATAATCTGGTATGTAGCTTGCCTTCTAAATGCCTTTCCTCAAATACACATATTTCAGAATGAGTATATACAGTTATCAAGTCATTTCTATTGAGAATAACTAGAAAGAGGAGCTTAAAATGAAGAATTTGTAGTTATCGGAAACTAGAGGAAGAAGGATCTTTGTTCGTAGTGACAGAGAGCTTAGCGACCCTGTCACCTTCAGTAACATGGAAGGTGATATGCCTGGTGAACTGCAGGATTTAGGTAAGATTTCCAACTAAGTGGTGAAGGTGCCGCTTGGTTTCTTCTTGCTTCTTACAGTAAAATGCTAGAGGAAAGAGATTAATTCAGGGATGGACTGCTCAAAAGAAACCAGGACTTAATGGTTTGAAAACTTAGTCTCTCCAGAGGCAAAAAATGCTAACATTAAGAAATGGCTTCCAAGGGAAGTTCAGATTCATTAGGAACTTTCTTAGCATCAAGTACCTTTCTTTCTTATTTGGTTGCAAAATTATATTTATTTGTGTGATTATTATTTGATATTAGTGTTGAATTGAACCCAGGAGGAAAAAGTAGCTTTTATTTCTGTCTAAACTATAGATTGTAAACTGCTTTAGACCAGGTTGTTTCAGGAAGGTGAGGTACAAACATACCATAGAAAAAGGAATCTTACTAAGGAAGCCTCAGTATACCTGCTATGTATGACCGGGGAAACACTACTAAACAAAAAGTGGAGAACCAGGGCAGAATCTGACAAGAACAGTGCTTTCTGGCTCACCTGTAGGGAAGTTGCTTGGAGAACCAAGGGTGATGATACATACCAGCAGCCATCAGCAGTGTTATAGGAAGCGTAAATAGAAAGATTGCAGGTGTCTGATCACTGACTACAGAAAAAGCAAATTAGTAGTATTTGAATCTGTGAGACAGTCTCCCAGCTTCATAATCTCAACCTTTTGGTGCAAATTGTTAACACCGCTTTGGTAAATAATATGTAAGCTAGGCATTTTAGCAGTAACCAAAGCTATTCATTGGGGAGAAAGCCATGAAATAGATTGTTTTACCATAAAACATTCTATAATTAGTTTTTTCTCCTAAATCAGAAAAACAAAATTATCAAAATTATGAACATAGAAAGCAGGGTTTCTCAACCTAATCACTATCGGCATTTGGGGCTAGATAATTCTTTGTCCTACATCCTTTGGTATAAATATGCAAAAGCTTCTGCCTGGCCTCTACGCCCTAGACGCCAGTAGTACCCCTCACCTACTTATGACAGCCAAAAATGTCTACAGACGTTGCCAAATGCCCCCTGGGGGATAAAACCACCTCCTGTTCAGAACCAAGAAAAGGAAAAGATAATCAGAAAAAGAAAAAAAAAAAGGCACTAGATTGTCTGTGAGAGGATAGATAACACATGTATTAAATAATTATAAATTAAAGCAGTGTACCAGTTTTGGTTCAGATATTGAAATTTTTGTTTTGGAAAACAATATAGGTATTTCCTTCAACAGTAATACTTTTAACAAAGCAGATATCCTGTGTGTATGGAAATTAATGACTCATTTGATAAATGAAGAAAGCAGATGTAAGTATTTTGTAGTATAGCCAAGAAAGAATTCAGATTCCTTAATATCCAACCCCCCCACCCAAAAAAAAAAAAAAATTACTATCAAGTCAATTCTGACTCATAGTGACCCTGTAAGACAGAGTAGAATGTCCCAATAGGGTTTCCAAGGCTGTGATATTTATGGAAGCAGACTGCCACATCTTTCTCCCCCAGAGCCACTGATAGATTTGAACCACAAACTATTCAGTTAGCAACCGAGCACTTAACCACTGTACCACCAGCACTCCTTTTCTTATTAGAATAGTCCACTTAATATAAACTGAAGTGATTATCAGTGTCATCTGGGGTGCTTTAAAATATATAAACTTCTGGCTCTCAGAATTTTTATTTTAATTGCCCAAGTAAATCATGTTTAATGTAGTTTTCCTAGCAGGTAGGTCTTAAATTTTGGGTCATGTCACTAACTTTGTCTACAACTTTATGTCCGGTTATAAATAGATACGGAAGGGTGGGAGAGACAGAGGAAGGAAAGGAGGAAATCAGGATGTGTGCGTGTATTTGATTTTCTAAGGGGTGGCAGATGACACCTTTTTACACTGAGCAAGAGAAAAAGTCTCCTTTTGGTAACCAAATTACAGTTTTGGCAGTGTCTAATTAGAAGATGTTCAAGTGACTTCTGTCCATTTGCTCATGTGACTCTTGCAAGTGTTATCAGCAAACATTTTCTTAAATGATTTAAAAGAGCAAAGACAGGGAGAAATGCTGGATATTTTTATAAACAGCCCTGCACATCTCAGAGAGCAAAATGTTGATGAAGCTGGAATGGTAGATGGTTCCTCTGGTCATTCTTTAGGTCTTCCCTGTGCCATACAAAAGGTATTAAAGGTGGAGTGTTGAAAGTTTGGGTGATATTTTAGAATGAAATCGGTTTTCTGTGGTGTAGCTAGTTCTTCTCTAAACATTGAATAGGAACTGTGGTGTCAAACATCAAAAATTCCACTGACTAAATCAATTGAGGATTATTCTTACAACAGGTAGTGCTTATTTATAAAGACTCCTAAAACATGATGGACATTTATTGCCTCATGCTATATTTGTGTTTATTTTATTTTTCCATAAAACTAATTTTTTTATTGTACCTTAGATGAAGGTTTACAGAGCAAATTAGTTTCTCATTAAACAATTAATGTACATACTGTTTTGTGACATTGGTTGCCAGTCCCACGGCATGTAAGCACTCTCCCTTTCTCTACCTTGGGATTCCCCATTACCAGCTTTCCTGTCTCCTCCTGCCTTTTCGTCCTTGCCCTTGGGCTGGTGTGCCCATTTAGTCTCATTTTGTTTTATGGGCCTGTCTAATCTTTGGCTGACGGGTGAACCTCAGGAGTGACTTCATTACTGAGTTAAAAGGGTGTCCAGGGTCCATACTCTCGACGTTTCTCCAGTCTCTTTCAGACCAGTAAGTCTGGTCATTTTTCTCTAGCTCAGTCTTGGACCCTCTATTGTGATCCCTCTCAGAGCAGTTGGTGGTGGTAGCCTGGCACCATCTAGTTGTGCTGGACTCAGTCTGGTGGAGGCTGTGGTAGTTGTGGTCCATTAGTCCTTTGGACTAATCTTTCCCTTGTGTCTTTGGTTTTCTTCATTCTGCATGGCTCCAGATGGGGTGGGACCAGTGGAGTATCTTAGATGGCCACTTATAAGCTTTTAAGACCCCAGATGCTACGCACCAATATAAAATTAATTTTTGTTTATTGTGTTTATTTTTCAATAAAATTTTTAAATTCTGTTCTAAATTTAAATAATTATTATCTATTCTAGAGAATTCTACTTTTCTCCAAATATGTGTACTTGAGTAACATGGATGTCTTAGAATATTTTCTAATGCTAATTTTGGTTTCTTACTATTGTCCATTTTACCATTTTACTTTTATAATCTCTTATTACAGTGCCTGTACCAACCAATGTTACAATTGAGTCCTATAATATGAATCCGGTCCTATCTTGGGAGTACCAGATCACAGTGCCAACCTCTGTTTTCACTGTACAGGTAAAGAATTATGGGTGAGTGTTACCATTTTATCCTTTTCATTCTGTTTTTGTTTAGCTCTTTGCACGTTCTGTGATTCGCATTGTTCTGCTTCTATCATTCTTTCTTTCCAGATAGCACAACTTCCTGAACTGGGTATAGACATCTAGAAGTGTTAAGGATACAAATTCGTTCTTTTCAGAATACTGCCTCCTATTTCTTCTTCCTGTCAATACTAAAGTAGAGGACTATCATATAGTTCTAAGACTTTAAGACATGACAAATAAAGCTTATATTTTAATATAAAAAGTAATGATGTCCTCTTAGCTCCTTTAGTGTAATGTATTTTTGAGTAAAAAGGTAAAAATTTCAATTTTTTTTTTTTTGACAAGTTTTAGGAGTCTTTGTACCAGTTTGATTTTACAATTAACTCAAAATTATATGTGCTAATGAAATCTAGAGTTAAGAATAGATTTTTAAAAATTAAGTGTGTAATGTGGTTTGTACAAGTCTTGTATTTTAAGTTGAGCCTCTTTATTGTAAAGGAGTTGGTAATACTTCTAACCAGAGCTTCTCCATCCTATTCTAATTCAACTCTTTCTTTCAGCTCTATTCTGCAAATGAAAAGCAAAGCGGAGACAGAGAAGGTTCAAATTTATACGTTAACCATAGAAGTTACCTTTGTGTTTTATTATTCCTCCTCGTTTTAGGGATGGGAAATGGATTGATGCCTGTACGAATATTTCTCATCATCAGTGTAATATTTTTAAGGCAATTTCTGATCCGTCAAGTCCTGTTTGGGCCAGAGTTAAAGCTAGGCTTGGACAAAAAGAATCTGCCTATGTGGAGTCAAAAGAATTTATTATGTGTCAACAAGGTGAGTAAAATGTACACACATCTAAATTTTAGATTTGAAAATACATACACAGATCTTCTGTATATGTTTACTTTTATTTACAGTTGCTAAAGTTTTCTAAATGCCCAAGAAGCATTTGGAGGGTTAGTGTCTTCCTTTTCTCCCAAGCTCCACAAAATAGGGCTGAGAGACAGCCGTTGCTTCGCCCCCTCTAAGCCGTTACATTTCCACCCCATGCAAAAATGGATCCAGTGCCGTCCAACTGTACGCTGTCACCCTTTCCCTTCCTGTCTTCTCTGTCATTCACTTCTAAATTACACTTGTTGAGGACTTTGGTGGCTGGGTCTCATTCTTCTTCTCTACCTAAGTCGTTTCAATACCTGGGGGAATTTTAATATCAACTTAACACCTTAAAAAAAGTTTACTTCCTTAATCTCTCCAACCCCAGTGATTTTCAGCTCTTCACTCTTCCAGCATCTCACTCTAGTAGTATGTGTACCTGATCTCTGTTACCACCTCCAGCTCCAGAATCTTCTGTGCCATTTCTTATTTTCTGACTATGACATCCTACCTTGGAGCTCTCAAACCCCGACTCCTGGGTAAAAGAAAACCCTAGTCACTTGACTCCTCTCTTCTGGTCCTTCAGTCCCTTGCCTTCTAGCTTCACTGCCCTCCTTGTTCAGCTTTCATGCTTTTTCACTTAGACCACTACCTTGATTCTCCTTCTGCTTTTCAGATTGTGCCTACTTGGTTTCTTCTACAGACCCTTCCTCCACCTACCTCTTAAATATTTTTATTGCACAGAGTCCACACATTTGTCATCTGCAAACTGTACCATCTATATGTCAGGTAGTTTATTCTTCCACAAAGATTTATCAAGGGAGTGATATGTGCTTTGTGCCAGAAAGTATGCTAGGCCGTGAGGATACATTGGTGATAAAAATGGACCTACCTGTACGACATATAGAAGAACAAGTCAAACAACAGAATGAGCAAACAATCGAAAGAAATCAGAAAATGAGACCATCTACAAGACTGCTATCCTCGTCTTTTCAGCAGGCCAATGTCGTGAATAAGGGGCCGAGGTAGAGGAAGGGAGACTATAGTAGATTAAAAGAGATTTTAGAGGCAAAACAACCAGATGCACTGTATATAACCCCTGACTGAATCCTGGCTTGAATAAACCGGCTATAAAAGATAGCTTTGGGACAATTAGGGAAAATATCTTTGCACAGAAAAAAATTGATTGATTGATGAAGCAAATATGGTATAATGTTTCCTGTTATTAAATCTTGGTTTTGGTTATATGGTACATTAGACCATTCCCTCTTCTTATGTGAATGTTTGAAATTTTTCATAATAAACATTTTAAAAGGGAAAACAAAAGAAAAAGAAAAAAAGGGACCTGCCTGGCACAAAGTACATGCTCAATAAATATGTGAGGAATGGATCATTAGTTTACCAACAAGGTCCCAAACATCAAAGACACATAGTAAATATTTGTTGAATGGATAAATAGCTAGTTTTGATTTTCACAATAAAAATTGAATGCATTTAACAATCTTTTTATACAGTCATCACGCCAGACACCCATGGGTGTTGGAGATAACAAAGTTTCAGTAAAGGTTCAAAGATAGATAAAATGCTTTTTCTGTAACATTTTTTAGAAACCAGGTTTCTTAATTCATAGAAGGAAAGATAAAGGAATAAATATATAGAGCTTTTATTATGTCAAAGTTTTTTACCAAGGTTCATGGTCAACTGTTTTTCTCTAGAACTAGAAATTATACTGCTAAAGAGGAGTTTACATTAGCTAAGAGTACTTCTTCTCTGAGATATATTAAACATTTCCTTATTAAGGACACTTAGAATATCTTCTAGATCTTTGTGGGATGGTTTGAATGTGGTCCTACTTTAGAACAGCAACAACAAAAGAAGAGTAGATTAGTTTTGGTAATTTTATGAAATGTACCATAAAGTCCCAAGACAAACACTGGTATAATGTTTTTTGCTTTTTTTTTTTTTTTTCAGGGAAAGTTGGACCCCCTAAACTGGATGTCAGTAAAAAAGAAAACCAAATCATTATTGACATATTTCACCCATCAATTATTGTAAATGGAGAAGAGATCGGAATCATGTCTGATTATGACGATAGCTGTTACAGTTTCATATACAATCTGTATGTGAGAATTAATGGGAGTGAAGTATGTGTTTCCATTTCATCTTTTTCAAAATGGAAATTATTCTATATATAAGTTATTAATGTAATGAAAGTTGACAAATATTCAGGCGAAATTCATGTACTATAGATTTTTGTAAGAAAAAAGAAAGATGTGAATACTATTATGGGAAATTGGTATGGGGTTAATCACTAACACTTGCCAGATGAATTCATTTAAGTCTTTTCTTTGCCAATTTTAGTAGCATGGCCCTAGTCTAGCATTTTAACCTGTTTACCTCCTTTTCTCCTCTGGTAAGAAGAGGATAATTTAACCTTTTCTTCGTTGGTGGTGGTGAGGTACAATAATATGAAGGCCTAATTTGAAGCTGAATGAGTAAGGGGAAGAGTAGAGGAAATGAAATCAGAAAGAGATCAGAGTGGGGTGAGGTCAGATATGTAGGGTCCTTAGGCCATTGTAAGGACTTTGGCTTTTTCTCAGAGAAAAATGGAAGAACCATGGGGAGTAGAAAGGGTTTTGATCAGAGAGAGATGTGATACAATCTGACCTATGTTTTAAAAGGATCAGGCTATGTTGAGAATAGGTCGTGGGTGTGAAGACCAGAGGCAATAAGCCCAGGTATGAACCTATGGCAATAGTCTAGGCCAGAGGAGATGGTGACTCCAACCAGAGTGATAGAGGTAATGAGAAGAGGTCAGACTAGATATGTTCTGATAGTAGATCCAGCAGTATTTGCTGATGAATTGGCCGTAGGGTGTGAGAGAAAAACGAGTCAGGAATGCCTTTACTTTCCTGAGCAACTGGACAGCAATTCAATTACTCCAATAACTAAACTAGGAAGGCTGCTAACTTGGAAGATATCCAAGCGGAGACAACAAGTAGGCAGTTGGATACGGGTCAAGGATATAAATTTGTGAGTCATTAGCTTATGTAAATGACATGTAAAGTCGTAAGCCTGGTTGAAACCCTCAGTGGTATGAAACTTAGAACTGAGCTCCCATTGGCTACCATCTACCTACCCATCCATGCCTAAAACTAGATTTTAAAAAACTAGAATCATCCTAGATTCGTTTTTTTCCACTGTCTTACACATTTTACTTCTTAAAATTCTTTTCCAGTTTGTCGTCATGTCTTCTCCATTCCCAACACCAGGCACTTGAGCCTGAATATTTGTAACAGCCTTTTAATTGTTCTTTCTTCCTCCAGTCTTGGACTCCACTAGGCCAGTGCTACCCAAAGTACCTGATCTGTAAACTGTTACTCGCCAGCAGTGAGATCAGGAGCTTGTACCAGAATGTAAATCAGTATGCATCTTCTTTCATCAAGAAGGTCTTCCAGTGAAAAACGAGTATCAGCTGATCTAAACCCCACACTGAGGGAAGTAATTACTCTTCATTCTCGTGTGTAAACCACACTTTTATTAGCACTGTTCTACTCCACCCATTCTCCACAGTGCTGCCATTCATTTATTAAACAAATATTTATCAAGCACTTGAACTATGTGCCTTCTAGGCATCAGGGGTATAGCGGAGAACAGAACAAACAAAACTTAGGTGATAATTGCTGTGGAGAAAAATACAGTAGAGAGAATGGGCAGTGTCTGTGGGGTGAGTGAGGACTAGTGATTTCAAGTAGGGTGACCAGAGAAGGCCTCACTGAGAAGGAGTTTTTGGAACCAAGGCTGAAGGAGGTTAGGGAGTAAGCTCATGGATATTTATGAGAAGAGTGTTTTAGACAAGGGGACCAGCCAGAGCAAAGACCCTGGCAAGAGCATACCAGGCATATGATGGGAGCAGCAAGGAGGCAGTGAAAGGAGCATATGAGGTCAGAGAGGTCACTGGGGCTGCAACTCATAGGGCATTGTAGGGACTTGAATTTTATACTGAGTGAGATGTTGTACCTTTGCAGAGATTTGAAGCAGACGAGTGACATGATCTGATTTAGATTTTGTAATAATCACTGGCTGCTAGCAGAGTTGTCTTTCCAAAGTAGAAACTTCACCATATTACTTTCAACAAATCCCCACTGGCTACAAAAAACAAAAAAAAACTCAATCTCAATTCCCCTCCGTGGCATGGTGTACAAGGCCCTAGTGGTTTGGCAATGTGTAGGACCCTGTCACTAAAGACGCTCTAGCTTTAAAAATACAGGTTATACTATGGAATTTGTTTCAAACCCTCCCCCTTCTTTTGAGTATTTACTCAAGGATCCCTGGTGGTGCAAGCGGTTAAGTGCTTGGCTGCTGTTATGGTTTGAATTGTGTCCCCCAAAGTGTATGTCAACTTGGCTAGGCCAGGATTCCCAGTATTGTGTGATTGTCCACCATTTTGTCATCTGATGGGATTATCCTATGTGTTGTAAATCTTACCTCTAAGATGTTAATGAGTCCCTGGGAAAGGTCATCATGATTGTTAGAGGGTCAGCAAAAAAAAAGGAAGACCCTCAATGAGATGAATTGACACAGTGGCTGCAACATTGGGCTCAAGCATAACAAGGATTATGAGGATGGTGTAGGACCGGCCAGTGTTTCATTCTGTTGTACATAGGGTTGCTATGAGTTGGAACTGACTTGACAGCACCTAACAACAGCAAGCTTTTTAAGGAGGTGCCATATCTTTTTTCCATAGTAGTTGTATCATTTTACATTCCCATCAGCAACGCATAAGAGTTCCAGTCTCTCCACAGCCTCTCCAACATTTGTTATTTCTATGTTTTTGATTAGTGCCAGTAATGTTGGGGTGAGATGGTATCTCATTGTGGTTTTGATTTGCATTTTTCTAATGCTAATTGTGTGAGCATTTCCGCATGTGTCTGTTAGCCGCCTGAATGTCTTCTTTGGTGAAGTGTCTGTTCATATCCTTTGCCCATTTTTTAACTGGATTATTTGTTCTTTTGTTGCTGAGGTGTTGAACTATTCTATAGATTTTAGAAATTAGACGCTTGTCGGATATGTTGTAGCCAAAATTTTTTTCCCTTTGTTTCTTTGGTGAACTCTTTTGATGAGCATAATTTTTTAATTTTTAGGCACTCCTAGTTAGCTAATTTCTCTTCTGGTGTTAGTGCATTGTTAGTTATGGTTTGTATTCTATTTATGTATTAGGGCCCCTAGCATTGTCTCTATTTTTTTCTTCCATGATCTTTATCATTTTAGGTTTTATTTTTAGGTCTTTGATCCATTTTGAGTTAGTTTTTGTGTTTGGTGTAAAGTATGGGTCCTATTTCATTTTTTTACAGATGAACATCTAGTTTTGCCAGACCATTTATTAAAAAGACTGTCTTTTTCCCATTTAAGGTCCTTTGGTCCTTTGTCAAAGATCAGCTGACCATAGGTGGATGGATTTACATATGGGTTCTTGATTCTGTTTCCATTGATCTATGTGTCTGTTGTTGTACCAGTACCAGGCTGTTTTGACTACTGTGACTGTATAGTAGGTTCTAAGATCAGGTAGTGTGAGGCCTCCTACTTTGTTCTTTTTCTTCAGTAATGCCTTTGCTTATCAGGGCCTCTTCTTTTCATATAAAGTTGGTGATTAGTTTTTCCGTCTTGTTAAACAATGCTGTTGGTTTTGGATTGGGGTTGCATTATATTTGTAGATCACTTTGGGTAACATTTTCACAATGTTGAGTATTCCTGTCCATGAGCATAGTATGTTTTTCCATTTATGCAGGTCTTTTTAGGTTTCTTGCAGTAATGTTTTGTAGTTTCCCTTGTATAGGTCTTTTATGTCCCTGGTTAGATTTATTCTTAAATATTTTATCTTTTTAGGGCTACTATAAATGGCATTGTTTTTCCTGATTGCCTTTTCTAAGTTCTCTCTGTTGGTTTATAGGAATCCACCTGATTTTTGTATGTTGATTTTATATTCTGCTACTCTGCTGATTCTTTCTATTAGTTCCAGTAGTTTTCTTGTGGAATCTTTGGGGTTCTCTATGTATAGGATCATATCATCTGCAAACAGGTATAGTTTTACTTCCTCCTTTCCAGTTTGGATGCCCTTTATTTCTTTTTCTTGCTTATTGCTCTAGCTCAGACTTCCAGCACAGTGTTAAATAGAAGTGGTGATAAAGGAGGGCATCCTTGTCTTGTTCTGATTCTCAGGGGGAATGTTTTCAGCCTCTCTCCATTTAGAATGATGTTGGCTGTTGGTTTTGTATAGATGCCCTTTATCATGTTGAGGAATTTCCCTTCTATTCCTATTTTATTGAAAGTTTTTATCAGGCTTTTAATAAATGCCTTTTTTCGTCGATTGAGATGATCTTGTGATTCTTTTCTTTTGTTCTATTTATGCAGTGGATTACATTGATTGATTTTTTAATGCTGAACCATCCCAGCATACCTGGTATGAATCTCACTTGGTCGTGGTGTATTATTTTTTTGATATGATGCTGAATTCTATTGGCTAGAATTTTGTTGAGAATTTTTGCATCTATATTCATGAGAGATATTGGTCTGTAATTTTCTTTTCTTGTGATGTCTTTGCCTGGCTTTGGTATCAGGGTTATGCTGGCGTCATAGAATGAATTTTGGGTATTCCTTCCTTTTCTGTGCTCTGAAATAGTTTGAATAGTACTGGTGCAAGCTCTTCTCTGAATGTTTGGTAGAACTCTCCAATGAAGCTGTCTGGGCCAGAGTTTTTTTTATTGGGAGTTTTTTTAATTACCATCTCAATCTCTTCTCTTGTTATGGATTGTTCAAGTTTTCTGTGTCAGTTTGTGTTAGTTTAGGTAGGTAATGTGTTTTTAGAAATTTGTCCATTTCCTCTAGGTTCTCCAATTTGTTAAAGTACAGTTTTTCATAGTATTCTGTTATGATCTTTTTTATTTCAGTTGGGTTTGTTGTAATGTCACTCATCTTATTTCTTACTTGGGTTATTTGCTTTCTATCCAGTTTTTCTTTTGTCAGTTTGCCAGTGGTTTGTCGATTTTGTTGATCTTTTCACAGAACCAACTTTTGGTCTTGTTGATTCTTTCTGTTTCTATTTGTTTGAGTTGTAGGGCTAAAGTTTTGATTTTGGCCCGTTCTTCTCTTCGACATATGCATTTATTGCTGTAAATTGACCTCTGAGCACTGCCTTTGCTTTGTCCCAAAGGCTTAGTGTGATGTGTTTTCATTCTCATTTGATTCTAAGAATTTTTTAATTCCATCTTTGATTTCTTCTATTACCCAGTTGTTTTTAAGCAAGGTGTTATTCAGTTTCCATGTATTTGATTTTTTTTTTTCCTTGCTCTTCCTGTTATTGATTTCTACTTTTTATGGGATTGTAATCAGAGAGAATGCTTTGTATTATTTCAGTGTCTTGGAATTTTTTTTCAGGGTTGCTTTGTGGCCTAAAATGTGGGCCATTCTGGATAATGTTCTATGCGCATTGCTGCTGTTGGGTGAGTGTTCTATACATGTCTATGAGGTCAAGTTGGTTGTGGCCTTTAGATCTTCTGTATCTTTGCTGAGTTTCTTTCTATATGTTCTGTCCTTTACTGAGAGTGATGGGTTAAAGTCTTCTACTATTATTTGGAGCTGTCTGTTTCTCTTTTCAGTGCCTTCAGTTTGTTTTGAGTATTTTGGAGCCCTTTTGTTAGGTGCATAGATATTAGGTTATGTCTCCTTGGTGGATTGTCCGTTTAATCATTATATAACATCCTTTATTGTATTTTATTGTGGATTTTGTCTTAAAGTCTATTTTATCTGAGATTCGTATTGTGACTCCTGCCCTTTTTTTGGTTACTGTTTGCTTGATATATTTTTTTCCTTCCTTTGATTTTTAACATATGTATGTCTTTATGTCTGATGTGTGTGTATTGTAGACAGCATATTGATAGGTCATGGGTTTTTTTAATACATTCTACCACTCTCTGTCTCTTTATGGGTACATTTAAGCCTTTTACATTCAGTGTGATTGTCAATAGGCATGAGTTTAATGCTGTCATATTGTACTGTTTTTTGTGGTGTTGATGCTTTCTTTGTTCCTCTTACTTTCTTGTGCTGAGATCCTTTTGTTTGTGGATTTTCATTTCTTTCCTTATTATAGATTGTATGTTTACTGGGTCTTTATGTTTTTCTTCTTTTTTATTTGATGAGTAGGTTTGTTAACTTTCTTTGTGGTTACCTTGAAATTTATCCTAGTCTTCGTAAGTTTGAACCAACGTTTTATTACTTGGTATCGCCTTGACTTCCTGTCCATTGGAAATTTCTATACCTACACCATTTATTCCCCCTTTTATTGTTTTGACGTTGTCATCGTTTACAGATTGACATCTCTGTTTCCTTGATTTAAGTCTTTTAGCTTTGCTTTATTATTGAGAGTCCTTTACCTGGGTTGGTATCTGGCAGATGCTGTCCTGTGTTAGACTCCAATTGTTGTCTGATGTTGTTGGTTCTCTAACTGAAGGACTCTCTTTAATGGTTCTTTTAAGTTTGGTTTGGTTGTTACGAATTCCCTTAATTTTTGTTTATCTGGAAATGTTCTGACATTGCCATCGTATTTGAGAATGAGTTTTTGCAGGATACATTATTCTTGGTTGGCAGTTTTTTTCTTTCAAGATTTTCTATATGTCATCTATTGCCTTTTTGCCCGAATAGTTTCTGCCAAGTAATCAGAGCTTAGTCTTATTGTTTCCCCTTTGTGACTTTTCATTTGTCTTGAATTGCAGTCAGGATTCTTTCTTTGTCTTTGGCAAGTGTGATTATGATTTATTTGTCTTGGTGACTTTCTTATCAGGTCTGTCCAATATGGGGTTCATTGAGCTTATTGGATGGTCAGCTTTTGGTCTTTCATGATATTTGGGAATTTTTTTGCCAGCAAATCTTCAACAGTCTTTTCTGTTTTCCGTTTTCTCCCTGTTCTGGAACTCCAGTCACATGCAAATTTTCACTCTTGATTATGTCCCACATTCTTAGGTTTTCTTCATTCTTTTCTCTGATTTTTTCTCAAACAAAGTGGCATCCTTGGATTTGTCTTCAATCGGACTGATTCTGTCTTCCATTTCAGGTTTGCTCCTAACACCTTCTATTGAGTTCTTCATTTCTGAAATTTTGTTTATCTTTTGGATTTCTTGTTACTATTTTTGTGTGATTCCTAATTATTTATTTTGATGTTCTTGTATTTCTTGAATTCGTCTAAAGCTTTGTCTGTGTTTTCCTTGATTTTGATTATGGTTTCGTTGGTTTTGTCTGTGTTTTCCTTAGTCTCTTTCCTATTCTCACGGACAGCCCTAAATATTAGTCTTTCAAATTCCATCTCAGGTAGTTCCAGTGCCTTTTCTTCTACTGAAAGGTCATCTGATTCTTTATTTTGGTCACTGCTGGAGCCATCTTGTGCTGCTTTTTTTTATATGTTTTGGTATTGTCTGCTGCCTTCGGGACATTAAGGTATTATTTTCTTTATTTATTGATTGTATGTTCTTTTTTTTGTCCTGCTTTTTTGTTTTGTTTTAATATGTTAGGGCAGGTGGGCCAGGTGTGCTCTGCTGCTTTCTCATCTGTGGGCATTATAGCTCTCACCATCTTATCCAGGTGGGCAGGGTAGCAGCAGGCAGGGCAAGCCCACTGTGCCGTACACTGTTTTGGCAAGGAGGCTGAGAGCAGACTGGTAGGTGCTATCTGCCTCCTGATGTTGGTCCAGCAGTATGGGAGTTTTCACAGCCCCTCTCCAGATGGTTCAGGGTGTTGGACTGGGAGTAATAAGGGCTTGCTTACCACTCTTCAGCAGCTGGTCAAGTGGCAGGAGGGGAGGAGTGGTGCAGGCCCAGTACAGTGATAGGGCCTGAGTGCCAGGGGCACTCTAGCCATAGTGGTGCAGCAAGGGCTAAGAGGAAGGGGTAGAGGTGGTGAATGGGGCTAGGTGAAAAGGAGAATGAAAAGAAAAGAAAGAGGAAAAGGAAAAAAAAGGGATGTCACATTGGGAGCTGGAGGGTGGGGAGGGGGCGGACCTGGGGACTGGCACACAGGGCAGGAGGTGGCATACAGGGCTAGGTTGGAGGAAGAAAGAAAAGAAGGAAAACGAAAAGAAAAGTTAAAAAAAAAAAAAAGCCAGCGCATTGGGTGCTGGCAGGTGGGCTAGAGTGGACCCAGGGCAGCAGCAGGCCAGTGACGCTATCTGTAGGTACACATCAGGGGCCGGTGGGAAGGCAGGGGAGGTGGCGTATAGGGCTAGGTTCGAGGGCAAAAGAAAGTTAAGGAAAAAAGAAAGAAGGAAGAAAAATTGGCAGTGCAGTGAGGGCCAGCGAGTGAGGGCAGGGTGGACCCAGGGGCTGGTGGGGAAGGGAAATGACATACAGGGCTAGGTGGGAGGGAGAAAGGAAAAACAAGAAAAAAAAATGATGGCACAGCAGGAGCCAGTGGGTGGGGATAGGATGGACCCCGGGTGGCAGCAGGCCAGTGACTCTCTAGCCACAGCTGTGTGACAGGGACTGGTGGGAAGGAGAGGGAGGTGGCATACGGGGCTAGGTGGGGGGAATAAGAAAAGGAAGGAAAAAAAATGATGGCACAGTGGGCACCAGCAAGTGGGGACAGGGCAGACCCAGGAGCCAGTGCGGATGGGAGGTGGCATGCAGGGCTAGGTGGGAGGGTGAAGGGAAAAAAATGGAGGCACAGCAGGATCCTGCAGGAAGAGGGTGGGTGGCATACGGGGCTAAGTGAAAGAAAGAAAAGGAAGAAGGAATGAGGGAAAAAAAGTAGTAGGAAAAGGCTGCAGGGCGGCCAGGTTGGGAACTCATATTGTGGACCCTGGCGATGGAGGTTGCTGGTATTGGGGAGTTCTTGCTTCTACTCACCAGAAGGGTGAGGGGCAGGAAAGCCTGTTTCTCTGATTACCAGGTGCTTGGTCTCCTGTTGGGAGCCCCATGAAGTTGCCTTCCTGTACTCCCTGTCTGGTGTCATTGTTGGCTGTGTTCCAGAATGGTGACACTGTGCCGTGATAGTTGGCAGGGGACCTCCACTCCTTATCTCTCCTCGTTCTCGGTTTTCCATCAGTTTCTTCTTCCATTCAGTGTTTGATCTAGTTCTTTATCCCTTAATTTGATGCTTAAGTGTTCAGAATTAACATTTTTATCTGTTTTACTTAGTTTTTCAGGTCTTTGCTGCAGAAGGACAGCATCGTGCGTCTGTCTAGGGCACCATGTTGGCTCTGTCTCTCTTCTCCACCTTTTTCATTTGGCAAATTTCTACTCATTCTTCAGTATTCAACTGGCTCTTCACCTTCCCTTTGAATTCTTTACTGACACAGTAGACGATTTCCTCTTCTGTGATTTGGCTAATCCTAGTTACTTGCAAGGAAGCCCTAGTGGCGCAATGATTAAGTGCTTTGCTGCTAACTGAAAGGTTAACAGTTCAAACCCACCAGTGGCTCCGTAGGAGAAAAAAACCTGACTATCTGTTCACATAAAGATTACAGCCTAAAAAAAGCCAATGGGGCAGTTCTACTCTGTCATATAGGGACGCTGTGAGTTGGAATCAACTTGACGGCATACAACAACAGTTATATGCAGCATGCGTTTGGCATTAGTTATTACTTTCTGACATTTCTTTCTTAATCTCCCTTCCGCACTACATTGTAAATTATGTGAAGTCAGGTACCACGGTCTTACCTTTGTGTCTTTGGGATCTAGCATAGGGGTAGATGTAATGCCTGGCACTCTGGGTGACCCAGGCACTTTGGCTGGTTGAATGAATGATGTCCTGCCAGGGATTGCTTCAATCCCTCCTATGTATTACTGCCAAGATATCCTGCCGCCTTTCCATAGTACTTTTAATATTCTTCATGTGAAATGTTTTTCTCCCTTAACAGCTAAGTTTCTAGCATTACAGTCATAGAACAAATGAACATTTGTTGGTTTAACAACTAATCTTGATTTCCAGACTTTTGTAACCTTTTTTCAGATATGTTCATCATAAATCAATGGTGATGAAAACCACCATAAATGTGTTTTCTTCAGTTTTCACAGGATGAAAATGGTGTTATTTCTTTGCATATTAAAAGGAGCCATGCATTTTTATTGTTTTTTATGCAGACTGTAAGTCAGCAGGTAGATAATTGCAATGAGACTCAGTGTTGGTCAAGTATTCCAGTGTCCTCACTGAATGCTGAGTACTGTGTTTCAGCAGAAGGCGTCGCAGATAGGTGGGACGTTACAACGGAAAAGTCAAAAGAATATTGTATTACCGTTCCAGATAACAGCACAACGTGTAAGTTCCTGCCATTTTTTCTTCTTTACTCTCGTATGGAAGTGATTACTAAAATAGGATAATGTGAAAAGAGGCAAATCCATTTGTAATTTCAGTAAATTTCCTTTTTAAAAATACTCAATAGTTCCATCTATTAAGGAGGCAAATTAAAAATAATGGCAGTTCCTCGGCCATTAAAAGACACAAAAACAATTTGGAAAGCAGTATAGTGACCTTTTGACCAAGGAAAGAAAAAATATAACAAATACATAAAACCATGTACATGAAGGTCAGCATTTCAAAGTGTGCATAATAAAAAGTCAGTTTGTTACTTCAGTATGACATGATGCTCTGTATCCATTAAAATATTCTCTGTGTGGACTATAAGTTTAAATGAATAGCAGGAATGTTCATTGATTACAACTGTGTGACATGTTAACTGGACAAGGACTAGAAATTAATAACAAAAATAGCTAGATCCATTTATATAATGATTATAGGTTATTTTTCTAACAATTAAAAATAATTATTAATTTTATTTCATCATCTTTTCCTTGTGTGTTGGGGGAAGACATAATAGAACTTTAGAAGTGGTATTATAAAGTAGCATAATGCAAATAAAATCTTACTTAATGCACAAAATATGAAATAATGCCAATGCCCCCAGGTAAATTTTTTTTTAAGTCTGAATTATACACTGGGATGGTATTATGGCCACATGGTGGCGCCACTGCGGCTCATAAGCAGAAATCCCTGCCTGCCTGTTTCAGTGCCTGCAAACTACTTTTTCAGCATGTGGAACTTTTAACATGGTATTGGTTTTCATTATGTCGTTATTTTAACTTTTGGAATAGAAATTAGAGGTAATACAATTCCACAAAGGCAGTCAAACACCACCATAATACATAGAGTGCTGTTAATTTGGAAGAGGACTGTGAAAAATACTGAAGATGGTGCTGAGAAAATAAAAAGAAGCCTCAGAGCAAAGTACACAATAGTGATTATAAATATATCATCCCTATTTTATGTTATTCTTTATACCTGATTTGCATTCAAGGTGACTTCATACCTGTGCAGTGTGTGTATGGGGGTGTGTGTGTGTGCATCTTTATAATAAATGTAACAGAAAATTCTGAGGAGTGGAGCTACGTTATTTTAAGAATTATAAGTGGTGCCAGAATTTATTTCGAAAGATTTTTTAATTCTTCCTTTGCCTTTTAAATGAGAGAAAAGCATAAGTAGAAACACCTTTTATTTGGGGCTGCAAAGAAATTGTCATAAAAACTCTATTTTAACTACGCTGTTTTCATGGCATTGTAGTCACAGAAAGTTTAGAATCACGGAGCTGGAAAGAATTATATTGATATCTAGGACAGATGCCTAATTTTTTACTCAGATCACTTGACTTCTATTTCAGTGTTCTTTAAAACTCTGACCGTACTGATTACCTTATCGGTAAATCTATTAAAGAACAGCACTAAGACTTTAAAACTCTTTGATAGATATACAGTCAATCCTCATAATTTGCAGAGTTCATACTTGCAAATTTTCCTACAAATCAATACATAAGAGCTTTCACAGTTACTTGTGGACATGCACGTAACAGCAAAACTTTTGAGTCGTCCAGAGTACATGTTCCCAGCTGAGGTTAAACAGGTTGAGACTCTGCCTTCTCATTTCAGCTGTTATACTGTAAACAAATATCCTTTACAATCTAGTTAGTACCATGTTTTTCACATTTTTATGCTTTTTATTGATTTAACTGTTTAAAATGGTCCCCAAGCATAGTTCCGAAGGGCTCTCTAGTGTTCCTTAAGCACAGAAAGCTGTAATGTGCCTTACAGAGAAAATACATGTGTTAGGTAAGCTTTGTTCAGGCATGAATTATAGTGCTGTTGGCTGTCTGTTCAGTGTTAATAAATTAATAATGTATATTAAATTGGGTGTTTTTAAAGAGAAACACACATAAAGCAAGGTTATATATCGGTCAGTTGGTGAAAATGTGACCAGAGGCTTGCAGGAACCTCACCCTGTATTTCCCCTAGGAGCAGTTGTTCAGTATTTGCTGATTTGGTGTTCACAGCAACTTTATAGGCTGTAACTACCATGCGTAATGAGAATTAATTGTAGCAGTAGTCCATCTTAATTCTAATTTGTGATTTTTTTTTTTTAGATTCTCTTTGGATTCCAGTTGTTTCTGCTGTCCTATTTGTACTACTTATCTTCATATTCGTATATTGTCAGATTAAGAAGATAAATCCTTTTAAGAGAAAAAGCATCACATTACCCAAGTCCTTGGTAACTTATTTAAGTGTTTTCCTTTAATTATATACACTAATTTGTCATATTGGATTTTTTTGACAATTTCTTAAATTTTGTAATAATATAAAATTAAAATAGAATAATATACAACAGCATGTCACCTAACATAAAGCACCTAGAGTACCCCAAAGCCACACATTCTTTTTCTACACATCGGGCACTTTTTGCCCAGGCAGAAGCACAGTTAGACAAGTCTGTTAAGGAGCTTAAAGTCAAGTAGGAAAGAAAGATAAGTGTACAGTGGGTGTACGGTATGATAAATTCAAAGGTAGAGGTTGACATATGTGCCAGTGAGTACCTCATCCAGCCTTGGGGGTTAGCAGTTTAGTAATGGCTTCTCCAGAGGCAACAATGACCAAGCAGTCTGAAGGGACAGACAGGAGTTTATCTAGGTACTAAGGGGACAGCATATGCTAAGGCCGAGAGTCAAGAAAGCATGGCTTTTGAAGATCTGCAGATGCAGAAACACTTCTTTGTGGTTGGTGTATAAAGGAAGAACGGCAAGAAATGAGACTACAATAGTAGTTTGACATTTTAATGTCTTATCATTTAGAAGCCTTCGTATGATGAAAGAACATTTAAAGGTAACAGAATAGTAGCTGTTTGAATCAAATACGACGGGAATAGTATCTGTAATTTGCAAAGGGCACATTTAAATTCATTATAAAAACACTACCTTTTAAGTACAATGGATAAAAACTGTCAACAATATAATATTCATCCTTACTGGTAATTCAATACAAAGCAACCTTGTAGTATGCCATTTTACAACCATTTGAGAAGGAAAAAATAAATCCAAATACTCAGTAAGACAAATGGCAGTAAAACTGATAATATGCTGGTGAAAAGTAATATAGCCGTGTATCTTAGTTATCTAGTGCTGCTATAACAAATATCACAAGTGGCTTTAACAAACAAATTTATTTTCTCACAGTTTAGGAGGTTAGAAGTTCGAATTCAGGGTGCCGGCTCTAGGAAAAGGCTTTCTCTCTCTGTCAGCTCTGGGAGAAGGTCCTTGTCTCTTCTGAGCTTCTGCTTCTGGGCGATCTTCATGTGGCTTGGCATCTCTGTTCCCCATCTCTGCTTCTCACTTGCTTGTTTAATCTCTTTTTCTATCTCAAAAGAGATTAAGACACACCCTATACTAATCCTGCCTCACTAATATAACAAAGACAACCCATTTCCAAATGGGATTATAACCACAGGCATAGAGGTTAAGATTTACAACACATATCTTCAGGCGGACACAATTCAATCCATAACATCATGCTAGGAAGAGCCACGCATATGCCCCACCCTTTGCCTCAATAATTCCACTCTTTAGGAAATTAGTCTAAGGAAATAATTTTATAAATGAAAAGATGCATGAAAATAATAACTTCAGCATATTCTGTAGTAATGAAAATTGGAAATATTTTAATATCTGCTATTGAACAAATTACAGTCACCAGCCTAAAGAAATAATATGAGCCACTGAAAATTATAAAGATGAAGGCAAATAGTGAAAATATTATAAAATAAGTAGGTGTATTCCCATTACAAATGTAACATGCATACATGTGACAAGTAATTACAAAAAGCAACATGTGTATTGGTGAGACATTCGGTGACTTTTAAAAAAATCCTTAAAAAAATATTTCCTAATATAGTATCTTTTTCATTAAAAAGAAGAAAAGCAAAGAAGAGGCAACCACTTGATTCTATTTTACTGGTATATTAAATATGCCACTTAGTGATATATTTAGTGGTCTATTACCTTAAGTCACTTTTTCTGAGGATAGGCACTTAAGTTTAATAGTGTATTTTTTTTAATCATTAATTTCTCTTCCCTTAGCTCTCTGTTGTAAAAAATGCCACTTCAGAGACAAAACCTGAATCAAAATATGTATCGTTCATCACATCATACCAACCTATTGCCCTAGAAAATGAGAAGGTGATCAGTGGAGAGCAGCTGTCTCCAGCAACAATTTCAAGCATGCATACAGAAGGCAATCCAGGAGAAGTGGAGAACATAGAAGAAGTTTCTAGTGAAACAGAAGTGGTGACTATTGAAGAAGAAAATACTTCTGATGTGGTCCCAGGGAGCCCTGTGACTACAATAAGAAGAGAGAATTCTTTGCATTCTAGTAGCAACCAGTCTAAACCCGGTAGTGTCACCTTAAACTTGTATCATTCCAGAAATGGTTCTGATAGTGGCCTTGTGGAATCGGACAGCTCTTTATCTGACTCAGAATTTCCCCCAGGTAATAAAACTGAAATAAAGGCAGAAGGACAAGACTCCACAACACTGAGAAACACTACCACCTCATTTGGTTACGATAAACCACACGTGCTGGTAGAGCTACTTGTGGATGGTGGTGGTAAAGAGTCCTTGATTGGTTATAGACTTCCAGCAGATTCGAAAGAGTTTTCATAAAGTCAACTAAGATGCGCCAACTTTGAGGCTGTGATTTCCTGACAGTTTTTATGCTTTGATTTTATGAAAAGACGAATTCAGAAATTGAATCTTTGTTGATAGTGTTTTAGATAAAAGTATGAAGAGCCTGTTTGGCACTGTTACCTTTAATCTGAAAACTACAGAAATGCCTTTTTTTTTTTTTTTCAAAAACAACATTGTATCATGTGAAGCTTTCCATCTGTATGGGTTAGTAGTAATCATGGGCACTCTCTAATACTCCTGCTTCCTGTGATGGTAGGTGTTACCTCTGTCCTTTCTAGCAATTTAAAGAGTTATAATACATTATTGTTTCTTCTGCCTAGGTATGGTGTTTGTTTTTGAAAGTTTATGTGTATAGCATGTTTAAATGCTTAATTTCAAAAGAAATTCTGAAAACTTTTCAAAATTGTATTTAAAATCTAATTCAAACTAATAGGATGAATAAAGGGCATGTAAATAGAAACAGTTTTTACTGGACATTGTTTTTCAAGATCTTTAAATAAAATATTTTTAAAACTTAGTTTTGTGTTCATTTATTGAAGTACTTAGGCAGTCTTTCATAGTTAACTAGAATATTTTTTATCCTTTTGCCTGTTTCCATGCATGAAAGCTACAGACTTATTTTCTAATTGCTGATATCTAATCTTTAATCCTAAAAATAATCTCATCTTTGAGAATGATCCTTTTATATCTGTTTCAATGTTTAGTACTCACTGTGCAGAACACTGTTCTTAGTGGTCCAGAAAGAACAGATTTAGCTATAGAGCTTTAGGAGCCTTTAGCATAGTGGTGGACGGTCAAAGTCATGGGAGTGACCAAGGGAGCCCTGAGAAGCATGTGGAGTGAAGAGAGAATCACCGAGGAGAGGCCAACAAAGAGTTCATTTCTATGTTATACAAGTAGTTCTTGGGAATTGCTAAGAGAATAGAAATTTTAAGACCGAAGTAAATTAACGGTGCAAAAAATTTTTTTTAATGCATTACATAAATGTTTTAGTTACCTAGCACTGCTAGAACAGAAGTACCACAAGTGGATGGCTTTAACAAGCAGAAATTTATTCTCTCACGGTTTAGGAGGCTAGAAGTCTGAATTCAGGGCGCCAGCTCTAGGGGAAGGCCTCCTTTCTCTGTCGGCTCTGGAGGAAGGTCCTTTGTCTCCTTTTGACATCTGTGGGCCCAGCTTTCCTTGGAAATCTCCATGTGTCTTGGCATCACTCCTCCCCCTGGGTCTTGGAGGTTCTCAGCACAGGAACCCTGGGTCCAAATCCCGGGTCTTCTTTCTTGGCGGTAGTGGGTCCCTCTCTGCTCCCTTCTGTCTGCTTTTTAGGTAATGCAGAGACTTCCCAGGGGAATTCCTCTTAGTTTTATCAGGGCTGTAACCTGAGTAAGGGTCTTGTCTCCTACCCTAATCCTGCCTCATTAACATAACAAACATAATCTTCTTTAACATGACCCAATCCTAATTGGAGGAAACCCTGGTGGCATAGTGGTTAAGTGCTACAGCCACTAACCAAACGGCAGTTCGAATCCACCAGCTGTTCCTTGGAAACTCTATGAGGCAGTTCTACTCTGTCCTGTAGGGTCGCTATGAGTCAGAATCAACTCGACGGCTTGTTTTTTTTTAATCCTGCCTCATTAACATAATGGACAGCTCACTCCCAAATGGGACCGTAACCACAGGCATAAAGGCTAGGATTTACAACACTCAACAAAATGGAGGACAACTGCACAGTACTAGGAATCATGGCTTAGCCAAATGGACACATATTTTGAGGGGGCATAATTCAAGACAATAAATAAATTAGCAAACCATAGAAAAATATTTCTCCTTAATGGTGCAAATTAAAACTGAGGGGCTATTTTTGTCTGTTAGTGAAAAATAAACACGTGGTAAATACTGGCGAGATTGCAGTGAACCTAGTATACTCACTTATTTTGGGGTCAATATGTATCGTGAATTGCTTTTCAAACTGAAAACAGTGCTTTTTAAGCACCATTCTTTAAAAACCTCTTTTTCCCAGAAGATACAAATTTTCACCCATGTTTTCTTTTGGTATTTTGGGGTCATTGTTTAATTTCTACATTTAATTCTTTGATCCATCTATATTTTTTTCTGATGAGTAAGATTAGGATCCAGTTTTATTATTTTTCCCCTGTTAAATTAGCCAGTTGGCCCAATATTGTTTATTAAATAATCCAACTTTTCTATGCTGATTTCAAATGTCCCATTTATCACATGCCAGTATCTCAGCAGTCTGGGGACTGTTCCATTGTTCGTTTTCCTGTGTTTTTAATAGCTTTATACTGAGATATATTTTAACTTCTGAGGCCCTCCCTAATATTGACAGTGTTTATTTTTTTCATGTTTCTTAGCAATGATTGTTCTTTCAGGTGAACTATAGAAATTTCTAGCCAAGTTTCCCCTCTAATTTTGAAGTTCCTTTGGAACTTGTATTAACATACCATACAGTATTGAGGGATAACATTTTCCAAAGCTGACTCTTTTGTAAAAATGAGGAATATTTCTCTATTCACGTCTCATGTTCCTCATTAGAGTTTTATACTTCATACAGGTACAGGGCATTTTTACTCAGTTTATTTCTTGATATTTTATGTTTTGTGTTGTTGATGGGAGTGTAATCTTGCATTATGTTTTCAAATGGCTGCTTGTAAGGAAGCTATTACATATTTTTTTATCCAACCAACATCTAAACTTCCATTTTTCCTGTGAGGTTTTCAGTTGATTGTCTGGTTTTCCAGTACACAACTGCATCATCTTCAAATAAGAATGATCTTACCTTCTCATTGCCAGTATTATAAATTGTATTTTACTCCCTTGTCTTCAATCTATGATGAATTGGTATAGTTTATTTCCCTAGAGTGAGATATCTCCTCAATTGACTAAAAGCAGTGGCCAGGGGTAAATCACTTCACCTCATGGGAGTTGGATTGAATTCTATCTAACTTCCCCTCTAAGAGTTGGTGTTTGTCTCCACTTGTGTTAGCCAGTAAGGGCATCCTTTTCCCTACACAGGAATATTTATTTCCACTCCACCCCACCCCCTGCCAAAATTATTACCGGTTACCAGAAACTCATGTTCTTTAATCATTTCACACCAAGTTGAATTGTCTAATATTACCACTTGTGTCACATTTAAGGTACTGGTGCTTATGCCTAATCAGAATATAAGTGGGCAGGAGAGAGTAAAAGGAACAAAGAAAACATCAACACCACAAAAAAAAAAAAAAAAAAAATAGCACTGCAAAATGACAGCAATAAACTCGTACCTATCAAAAATCACACTGAACATAAATGGCTTAATTGCACCCATAAAAAGAGAGTGACAGAATGGATTAAAAGACAGGACCCATCAATATGCTGTCTACAAAAGACATACATTGGAAACAAGGACATAAATATATTAAAAATCAAAGGATAGAAAAAAATACATCAAGCAAACAGCAACCAAAAAAAAGAGCAGGAGTGGCAATACTAATCTCAGATAAAACAGACTTCAAAACAAAATCCACAATAAAAGACAAGGACATTATATAATAATTAAAGGGACAATCCACCATGAGGACATAATAATAAATACACAATGACAGGGCTTCAAAATACATAAATTATAACAGCATTGAAAAGAGAAATTGACAGTTCCACAATAATAATAGACTTCAACCTGCCACTGTCAGTAAAGGACAGAACATGTAGAAAGAAAACAAAGATACAGAAGATCTAAAGGCCACCATCAACCCACTTGACTTCATAGGCATATATAGAACACTCCACCCAACAGCAGCAAAGTACATATTCTTTTCCAGTGCACATAGAACTTTCTCCAGAATACACCACATCTTAGGCCACAAGCAACCCTCAACAAAATCCAGAACACTGAGATAATACAAAGTATCTTCTCTGATCACAATACCATAAACATAGAAATTAAGAACAGGAAGAGCAAGTAAAAAAATCAAATACATGGAAACTGATTAACACCCTGTTTAAAAACCACTGGGTAATAGACTAAATAAAAAAAATTCTAGAATCAAACGAATGAAAACACATCATACCAAAACCTGTAGGACACAGGCAAAGGCAATGCTCAGAGGCCAATTTATAGCAATAGGTGCACACATTAAAAAAAAAAGAGGACTTCTGGGCAACATGGCACTATAGACAGAAGCACCACACCGTTCCTCCACAGCAAAGATCCAACAAAATAAGAGACAAACATCAATCCTGAAACCCTAAGCATCAAATAAGGAGATAAAGAACTCAGCCAAGCACCAAATGGAATAAGAAACCGACTGAGAACAGAGAGCAAGGAGAGATACATGCAGGGGTCCCCTATCAGTTAATGCAGCACAGATCTGCCATCTTGGACTCCTGTAAGAGATCAGAAAACAGGCAGTATGGGAAAGCAGGTTCACAGAGGTCCCAGCAGGAGACAGAAGAACCGGTAACCAGTGATAAATGCTTTCCCACCCCTCACCCTTCTTCGCTCCCACTCGGCCTCCTCTGCTTCCTGCGGCCACAATCTCTTGGCTGGGAAGCACTGGCTTCACCCCTGTGCCACTTGCATTCCACCCACCCACACTGGCTGGCTCCCTGAGTGCCATTTGTTTGTTGCTGCTGTAGCTTTTTTTCCACTTCTTTTGGTTACTTGCATACCTCTCACTGCCTCCCCTTCCTTTCTCTCAAATACCTGGCTCTGTGTGCCATCTTAGCTTCTGCCTGAAAGGCTGTGAAATGCCACTCAACTGTGGAACTCCTTCCCGGCCTGTGCAACCACATTGGTGGGATCCCAGGGGCTTTTTTGTTGTTGTTTTGATTTATTCTGTTTTGTTCGTTTGTTTTCTTTTTCTTTCCTCAGCTTGGGAGCCCTTTTTAGCCAGGCAGTACTGCATGGCTTGGGAGCTACTCCCTCAATCTGTGCAGCTGTACAGTGGGATCCCTGGGGGCATTTCTTTTTTCTTGGTTTTGTTTTATTGTTTTTGTTTGGTTTTTCTTTTTCTCTTTTTCCTTTTTGCCTTTCTTCATTTCTCAGTTTCTCATCTCTCTATACTTACCTTTTCTTCCTGTCTCCTGAATACCTGGTGCTGTGTGACACCTCTACCCCTTCTAGCCAGGCCGTATTTCATGGCCTGGAAGCAACTTCAGCAGTCCTCGCAGCCACACTGGTAGGATCCCTGGGGACTTTTCTTTTCTTTTTCTTTTTCTTTTTTTTTCTAATTTTTATTTATTCATTCTTTTCTTTTACACTTTTTCTTTTTTTCTTTTTGTTTTTCTACATTTTTTTCAGTCTCTAAGCTCTCCACTCCAATGGCAAGCTCCCTTAGCACTGTTTTGTTTGCTTGTATGTTTTTGGCTCTCATCTCTCTCCTCTTTCCCATACCCATCTTACCTCCACACATCACAATCTCTCCCCTCCTTCCTGCCTAACTGCACCATGCACTCAACACCACACCCCCAAGCAGCACAGGGACAACCTACAAGAACTTTCCCTGCACTGACTCT